AGCTGGTATCTGTTACTCAGCTCTTAGCTGTTGTCGAACTCTCTGCCTTCGGGCAGAGAGGAACCCGGACGAGGCTATGCCGAAGGGAAGAGTCTCGTTCACGGAGGTAGACCGACCGATCCCGTTTATGCAAGGTCTACAGGGATTTTTAGGCTGAGCCTACGGGCTTGAAAACCCCACATTAAATTCGGCCTTGCGTGGGGCAGTTGCTAGTTACCGGCTAGCTGGGATCTGTTGAGTACGACTCAGACTTAGGCGAGAACTACCGACCTTCCAATAGTAGCACTTAGTAATGGATTGATTGCGACGACCTTGTGCATAACTGTTACCTTTATTCTTATTGTACTGGTTTTATAATAAACCTTGACTTATTTTATCCACCTTGTTTTTCAAGTGTATATGCCTATTAGCATGGAATATAACATTTACATTTACGAATATAAAATTAAACAAAAATTACTCGAAAATGCATTAGCCTATTTATCACTGTTTCTTGCGGATCCCTAGGGTCCCGTGGGACACCGGTTGAGAAACACTGCAATAGACTGTACGTTTCTTTTCTGGCTAAAAAAAAATTGTTAAGACTGGGTTGGAAAGTTTATCGCTCGTCCGTTGTACACAGTCATTGGATTATCATTTCTACTTGCCTTTAGATACTGTAGTTTTGGCTACTGCAAATCTTTATACTCATTCCTTTGATTGTCTGTTGTGGAGTACAAGTGACGGGAATTCTCAAGATAAATGAGATACAGCATAGAGCAAGGAGAAAATTTGCTTGATACCTTTCTCAAGAGAATTAATGATAAGGTGATATGAAAAAAGTTTCAATCTAATTGGATCTTACGTCACCAATACCGTCCCTTTGTCTGATAACTCTTACACTATATCATGTATAGTAATATTAATTGTTTTATATGTACGAAGCAGTGGTTTGTGAGAGTAACAACTTGTTTTCCAATAAATATGTATGTAAATTGTGTGTGTGTGTGTGTGCGTGTGTGCGTGTGTGTGTGTGCGTATGTATACACAATTTCTAATAGATCAACATAGGAAAATGCGGGTAAAGCAGAGTTTTTACAGATACATTTTTGTCATGTCTTGTTTTTACAGATACATTTTTGTCTTGTCTTGTATGTAAATCTATTTAAGAGACACGTAAGGGAACTTGACGTATTTTGTTCACTAACCGAAAGTCGAGCAAGCAATTAGGTATTCCTATATCACATTACCTCCTTTGTTTTATTCAATATATATATATATATATATATATATATATATATATATATATATATATATATATATATACGTCCACGATATCGCTAAAAAAAAGAGCATAGCATGATGAGAAAGACACCAAACTTGACGAAAACAAAATTTTATCGTCTAAAAGTTTATGTTATTATTAAGAGAAAAGATCAAAATATTTTTGGGATATTTTTTTTTTTACATTTTTTTAATCGTTCCTAGTATGTCCGAAATTTTCGTTAAACATCTTGCATTTTTTTGAATCAGCAAAATTGACCATTTTTTTCCATTTTATAAAAAACTAGAAATCTCACTTTGAAATTCTTTTAAAAATCAATTATCATTTTTTCAAAACTTACTTTAAGAAAATCAGAAATTATGTTTATTTAAAATATTTTGAACCAAGCCTAACTTAGCTTCTGCGCCGAAAAGATGTAATTTGAAAATAAAACAAAGCAGGTCATAAACTTTCGCGTCACTTGACAGGTGATGAATGACATATTGACGAATTCCGTGAAGCTAATTTGTTCTACGGATGGAGAAAAGTGAAATAATTTACATTTAAGTGAACAAATTATTTACCTCGTTATTTTTAAGGAAAACTTTCAGCGCTCTAATTTTTTTTTTGTACTTAGCTTTCACCTTTACGTTTACGATTCATTATGGAAAATATATTATAAAGAAATAAAAATAAGACTATTAAGAGTGAGATTAAATTTCATATTTCATAAGAAAGCTATCTAATTAATTTATAGGTACCTTTCTTATGAAATTTTATCAGAATTGTACATAAAATACTATAATTTTATGTACATTTATTACATTTTACTGTGTTATTTGTATTTCCATTCATTTTATTTTTAATTTTGATATTTCATTTATGGAAAAATGTCGTAACTGAGATTAATATAAAAATAAGATCATATAAATTTCATAAGATGATACTGATACTTGTAGGTAGCCTTCTCAGTTGAAATTGAAAAATCAAATTAACTTCTCCACACGTGTTTCGCAAAAGTAAAGGCCTTAACAGTGGAGAATAATGCTTAACCCAAATAACGCAACTTAATTGTATTCTGGTTGGTCTTCCGTACTTTATAATTACAGCCTGATTATAAACGCAAAATTACATTTCTTAATTACTGCGGATCTTCTGATTAGTCAAAATGATACAATTTACAACGCGCTAAAAAAAAGATCTATCTCAGAAGGAGACTTAGGAAACCCGATGCATCTTTTAACTAATTTTGATAATTAAACATAACAATAATAACATAATAATGAAAAAAATCTATTATAATTAAGAAATAACAAATAATTGTATTAAAAATTCATTTTTCATTGAAACATTTTTTTGCTTTCAGAACATATTGTCCATATTTATAAAAACAATTAAATGCAAATAAAAGCATTTGGAATTAAATAATATCTTTGTTTTATTGAGTTTTGTATGTTACAATTCAGAGCTGATTTTCAGGTAGAGGGGTCCAATTAAAAACAAAAAGAAAAACACGATTTGCATTCCTCAAAGCCTTGTGCTTTTAACTATTGTAATCACTAAACCCGATGCGATCGAATTTCTAGCGTTTTCATAAAATTAGTTGGGGGGGGGGAATAATAAATATTAAAAAATATTTCTACCATGAATTTTATAAAAAAAAACATATTTATAATACTTTCGATCATTTGTGAATAGTTTCTGAAAGTTTCATTAACATCCGACAATTATTTCTATTTTTGCACGATTTTTCAAATTAATGTGTGTCATACCAAAAAAAAAAAAAAAAATGTGCTAAAAATTGTCTGTTATTTTACTAGTTCCGGTGATACAAAGAGAAACAAGGTTGTTTTTTTTTAATCAAAATTTAGAATGTTCTAAAAAAAAGGAAAAATTTTAAAAAATAATTAAAAAAAAAACTTTGGTCTTTCCTCTTAATAATAACATAAGCATTTAGACGATAAATTTTGTCTTCGGCAAGGTTGGCGTCTTTTTCATCAAGCTATGCTCTTTTTTAGCACTTTCGTGGAGGTACCTATTACATTTTTTTTCGTTTCATTTTTTGGACGTGCAATCTGATGATCCGGCGCCCTTTAAAAGGGCTCTGGCGAAATAAATTATTATAATGGTACCTTAAATTGGTCTGTTTTTTTTAATCTATATATATATATATATATATATATATATATATATATATATATATATATATATATGTGTGTGTGTATGTATGTATGTATGTGGGGGTGTTCTGCTATTTTGTCGACTAGTATTTTAATGTACTTTTTTGATAGATTTATTTAACCGATGCAACTGAAGGGCGCATCGGGTTTATTTCCTACGTAATTATACTTGAATATGAAATTATTCAAAATGAAATTGCCAATTGATGGGCAACCATAGAAAAATTTAAAATATTTATTGAAATCTTTCATTACATATTCAAAAAGTCGATTTCCTTGCAAATAATTATTCATCCAAAGAATCGATAAGATTTCTTCAAGATGGTTTTTGGAGGATTTCTTGCCTGGAAGAAAGCGACAAAAATTTTAATAGAATAAGGTAACTCATAACAGTGATGATATTCTAACAATGATTCAGGTCGAGGAATCATAGCCTTACCAGTATTGCTGCTGTGGTTTCCGTAAGAAATGGACATTTTACTGGGTGGAGTTGCCAGATCCCACACGTCCACACGTTTTTGAATTCAAAATTATTGTTATCTTAGATTGGTTGCCAAACTAAAGCTAGAGAACCCAGTCTACCCTGTTATTCAAGTAGAGATGGATTCATAACGTTACCATATGGTATTTGTGTGAAAGTGAATGCAATAATTTCGGCCCCTCGGAAGTGGGATCGTCATGCCGACCCGACTTCCGTTCCGATAACCATGACACTATGTTCACATCGACTTCCGTCAGTCGGCAAAATAAAAAAACAATTTCCTCGTTTTCAGTTCATCTTTACCAATTCTTTTTTAATGGCAAGATAAAAAATTATTTCCTTTTATCGGATCGTTGCAGTCTTACTTAAAAAAAAAAAAAAAAAAGAAAAAAAAAAAAAGGATTAGCAGATGAAGAATGAATCGGCCGAAACACGATGAAAACTACAAAGATGGGGAACACAAGTTTAAATGAAATAAAATAATATTTAATATATATATATATATATATATATATATATATATATATATATATATATATATATATATATATATATATAGGTAAAAGTCCGTGGGTGAGTAATCCATGTGAATCCTAATAATATAAAATATTAAAACTGATCCCCAAAAGAGACCTTTATTATAGAACATATAAAAAATACATAAAAAATGAAACTCAATTGTACCCCATTTATATGGCCATTTCGCACCACGAGAGATTTCTCTCTTCGAGAAATTCCCTGGTGCTTCATATCAAACGTTTTAGTGTGTACAAGCTCCAGGGAATTTCTCGAAGTGAGAAATCTCTCATGGAGCGAAATGGACATATAAATGGGGTACAATTGAGTTTCATTTTTATGTAATTCATATATATATGCGCTCATAAACAAAACGAATTTGGATCATTGTAGATATTCGTGATACAATACACTTGCAGGTATAACTGATAGAGGAAATCGATTCATCAATACAATATATGTAAGACATCAAAACTTAACGTGGTTACACCTTAATCCATTCAATAATTAAAAAAAGAAAACATTAAAAATGAACAACATCAAAATACAGAAAGCATTTCAATGTATAAAAAAGACTTACCCGATCTTGTCCAGCGCTGAGGTTTGCCGTCTGTAACATTTCAGAACTTTTACTAGGACTGAATACATTCGTATCGCAATATGGACTTCTTTGTGAACTCCTAAACGTACTGTTACCTTTAAGATTATTGTCCATAGATAGAGAAGGAGTGAGATCAAGACCCGTGGATATATGAGATGATGGCATGCACTTGGACGCTGGTGGATGGCACCCGGATGTACCCAAGGGTCCCATATGATTTGCGGCATTGCGCCGGTCTCTTCGGTCATTTCGTCGGATCAGACATATCGTCAACACTACGACCAATCCGACAGACCCTGTAACGGCGGTCAGAGCTATAACAATGAGTAAATTCTGGTGCGAAGTTACGTCATCATCAACTTGAAGCCCAGCTAAATTTGACGTCTCATTACTGACTACCAGCGACAACGACAAATTTGCTGTGGCCGATTGGACCGGCACGCCGCTATCTTTTACAATAAATTGTAATTGGTACTGACCAGTGTCCTCACGGGTTGCTTCTCGGTCAAAAGATAACAATCCGCTGTAGGTGTCCACTAAAAATAATCCTTTGTCGTTACCTCCAGCTATTTCAAATTTCAAAAGCGCATTTTCGTCGCTGTCCTTATCTTTGGCTTGCAGTACAGTGATATCCTTATCGCTGTCAGGATAGTAATACACTGTCATACTGAAATTGTTCATACTGGGAAAAAGAAAATACGGTTCATTGTCATTTTCGTCTAACACTTCGACTAGAACATCGACAGTGTTATTATAAGACGGAAAGCCATTGTCCTCAACAAGTACTTTAAACTTATATGCACTTTGCAATTCATAGTCAAGTAATTTGTTCACGGACAGGAAACCGTCGTCTGATATAATGAAAGGCAGCATTTCTTTATCTTCGGCCTTTAAGGTGTATGTGAGTTCCCCACCGGCACCCAGGTCAGGATCGGAAGCGTTTATATAACCGACTGGAAATTTGGGTATTTGATTTTCATATGTTTTAAATCGGAATGAATCCTGGGTAAACACTGGATGCTCGTCGTTGATGTCGTTGATGGTAACGTGAACGGTTGCACTTCCGGTTAAGGACGGTTTACCAAGATCTCTGGCATAAACTTTGAAATCGGATTTTGGCGTTTTTTCGCGGTCGAATATTCTAGTTACCGTTATGAGACCCGATTTCTCGTCGATCGTGAACCAGGAAGAAGTTGTTGCGTCGAGGAAAAAACGGATTTCTCCGTTGTATCCGACATCGCTATCTTTTGCCGACACCTGTAAAACCGACATTCCCACAACGTTGTTCTCGGAGAAGGAAGTGCGATAGTCTTCCTTAAGAAACACGGGTGAGTTGTCGTTAACATCGACTACTTCAATAGCGAAAGTATTCTCAGTCCTCAAAGATGGTGAACCCCGATCCTGACAACTGATAGTAACGTTATGTTTCATCTTTGTTTCCCTGTCAACCGGCTTCTTGACCACCACTTTATATTTCTCCGCTCCCAGGCTACGCAGCTGAAAGTGTTCGTGGACCAACGCACAACTGACTTCTCCACTATGGCCGACATCATGGTCAACCACTTTAACATATGCTATGAAACTGTCAGTAACTGCCCCTTCTAAGACTAACGCCGTCTTCTTATCCGGCGAGGCCGAAACGAAGTTGACAAAAATGACTGGTGGGTTGTTATGCGATGGTATGACATAGACAGTAACTACTACCTGAGCGCTCAGTGGCAGGGAAGCGCCATCAGACGCTTCCACAAATAATTCATAGACAGTGGATTGGCCAGCAGATATTTTTTTGACCAACATTATTTCTCCGGTATCTTCGTTTAATTTGAAATGGTCTTTGGCAGCGTCAGACGTCAGGGGACTGAATTTGTACGTGACTCGACCATTCTCTCCCAGATCAGGGTCCATTGCCAGAACTGTAACAATCGGCCGCGTGTCACTGGGCTCGTTTTTCGTGGAAACATTATATACGCCTTTCACAAAGGTCGGCGTGTTGTCATTCAAATCTGTCACAGAAATGTCCACATCGAGAATACTTTGTTTTGCCGGGATCCCATTGTCTTTAGCAATTATTTGCACTTGATACTCTTGTCGTCTTTCCCGGTCGAGTTTTTTGTCGACGTACAGGTTAAGATCGGACGATCCATCAGGTTTTTTAGAAACCGTCAAACGGAATGGTTCGTTATGCTTTTTTCGAAGTTGATATGTCACTTGGGAGTTTTGTGTTCCGACGTCCTTGTCTATTGCATTCGGAATTGATCTCCTTGTATTTGTGTCTCCTTCTAAAAACTCAAGATGGACCTTCTCACTGGGAAACTTGGGCGCATGATCATTTATATCTTTAAGAAAAACTTTAATACTTAATAGCTTCATTAGAGTCTCTTCTTTCTTGACAGCGACATCTAATGTTTGGAAACACTTGACCGACCGATCGCATAGCGTTTCCGCGTCCAGCTGACGAGCAGTATACAGTTTTCCTGTCAACTGAGATACATTAAACAGCTGTGTAGCCCCAGCTAATGTTAGTCGAACAAATCGAAGAAGAGCTTTCTCCTGGGGTTCAACTTCATCCATGATACCTGAGTCGGTTGCAATATTACCCAGGTAGGTACCAGGGGCTTTCTCTTCTTCTACAGTGTAATTCAAGTCTGAGCTTTGGCAACCACAAAGAGGAAAGCAGATAAGAACGGCTAAAATTAGAGTAAACATTGTCTTTTGACCTGATAATACTGTCATATCCGTGATAGAAGATTTCATATGAGTTGACGTTGATCCGCGAGAAATTGTCCTGTCTCCAATTTATTCCTCTCTTTGAAATTGCTATTTTATTCTGATGGCTGTTTTCTCACCTGCAATAGAAAAAAAATCGGTCATTACTGAGAAAAAGGCAAATTAAATTATTGTTAAACCAAGCACTTTTGTGCATTTTAAGTTTTATAGATGGAGAACGGGTCACTGACTTTAGAGTTTCAACTCGCGCATTTATTCTCCATAAAGGCATACGAAATTATTATTCATTTACTTTCTTTTATATATAATTCTATTGATATAGAAATTATTGGTTACTATTATTCCACATCGAAATGCCGAGTTTAAGTCTTAACAGAACATACAAATACTGCGTAATTAAATTATTTTATACTAGAAACTGGGTTAGACGCCTCGCTAAGAAATGCAATTGATATTACAATTTTTATGTTTTAAAGTAATTAATGGATAAATAGGCATTAATTAATCCGACATTATTTACTATAAACGCTATATTTAGTGGATACATGTATGTAAGTAGACCCACTGTGTTTTTTGTTTTTGCTTTAGTTTTTTTTTTTAAACAGTGACATTAATGTCAGCGTGCCGTGAGATCGAAAGTCTTAATAAAGAAAATGTGACTCCCGACAGAAATCGAACCTTTATTCCGTTTTTAATAAGCGGAGTCGCTTTCAACGCAAGCTTAATGGTAAGTCAGGCTTGGTTTGGAAGCGGTTTCCTGGATTAAAAACGGAATGCAGATTCGATCTGTGTTGGGAGGTAAATTTTCTTTATGGATCTACTTAACATCGTGAAGAGGCAGCTGAAGTTTCTGGGACACATAATGAGGAAGGATGGCCTGGAGAATCTGATACCCACGGGTCGAATAGAGGGAAAGAGAGACAAGGGAAAACAACGCATGACATACCTAGCAGGCTTAAGCAAGTGGATGACAGAAAGTAGTCTGGGGGAGGTGGCAGAGAAAAGGAACTTGTTGAGTGCTGCAAGGGATAGAGGGAAATGGAGAACCATCATCGCTTACGTCCTGAAAGGACATGGCACATAAAAAGAAAGAAAGAAGCTGGTGGAAATTAATTTCACTGAAATAAGCTCAGGAATATACGGGCAGTGAAACGGTAATCGGCATGGGAAATCTGCGAGCAGAATTACAAAAAAAAAACAAAAAAACAAAACCAAAAACAAACAAAAAAAAAAAAACAAAAAACAATACTTGTTGATATGAATTTCAGATTTTGATTGATTTTTTTTTACTGTTTATCAACCGTTTGCAGGTTATTTAAAGCCAGAAAATATTTTTAGATCGTAAGAGTTTTTGGAGCCAATACTGATTTACTGATACAAGACTTACTAATTAACCCATATATGGGAGGAGAAGAGGTGGATTTGTACCCTTCCCAATAGTATTTGTGTGCAAGTGAATATAACGAACCCGACTAGAATTGGAACTCGGCTCTCCAATTTCTAATTCCGAGCCATTATCCATTACACCACCCACACATCCAACTTTACAGCACCTGGTATTACCAAGCGGTCCCCCATGTAGGTACTGACTAAGCTTGACATTGCTTAATTTCGCTGATCGTACGAGAACTCGTGTATTAAAGTAATATAGCCGTAAGACAGTTTCAGATGTTCTATTCTATCCGGGGATTTGATATTTTAAGATAAAATGTTGGTTGCTGTCTTTTAATCAACTACAAATCATTAACTTAAATATTCAACCAATTCCAGAAACGTTCGTGTTTCCAATCCAAACGTGCTATCTCTTTTTTTTTTCAATGAGCATCCCGGTTTTATCGGTTGTAAAAAGAAAACAGAAAATGGCAGTAAACATTAAAGGCAGCTTTTAATGGCATACCGATATATATCTGTGATTTAAAAAAACAAAACAAAAATAAAACAACTGTAGAAGTTATGTGATATCGCTCCAGACTCTCCAGCCTTCTTCATGGCTTGTTATTCAGAATCGTCCTTCTCCTAGACTGGTTGCCATGTAAGGCTTCCATAGTCCAATCTATTTAACCCGTATCTGTGAGGTAGAAGAGATTGTTTTGTGCCTTTCTCAAGGGCGTTTGTGAGAAAGGGAACGCAACAAACAAACTCGGAATTTGAAATCGCCGATTTTATTTGCTGCGCCGATAACCATTACACTGACTGGATAACCTTTACAAATCGGATTGGTTTAGGGAGCTGACAATTAGGGAATCAGTAGTAAAATATTTATAATAGCGGATGTGTCCGAAAGTGCGGTGAAGACAAAAAAAAAACCCCCAAAAACTTGTAGATAAAGCAGTTCGGTCATTATTTCAGTTTCAGATACGAGATCGGGGAAGAATTATTATCATTTAAATACTGAATGGAAACAACATTTTATAATAAGAAGTAATAGAAAACAAGATTAGATTCCAGTTTTAGCTTCGAATATAAGCTTGAGGCAATGTTAAAACTGATTAATTACTGTAAATAGAATTGTGTCTTGTATGATAACCAAGCATTTTCTCTTTATCGTGACGAAGTTTATAAAAAAATTGTTAATGCTATCAAAGCATTATAAAATGAATATAAAATCAATTACTATTAACTTTTAAATTCAATAGATGGTTGAAGGTAGAAATCGTTGAATAGGTGGAAACTGGCATCAACTCAAACAGCATATATTTTAAACACTGGCTTATTTAATTTTTCCTATGCAGTCATGTTATCAATTGTATGCAGAATTAAAAATGTTCTCATTTTTTTTCTTTTGCCTGTCGTTCTATAGTAGAAAACAAACAACAATGTCCATTATTGTTAATTATTATTATTTTTGATGTCGTTCTCTGATTGTTATCACTGCCATCATTAACGCTGCCTTCTTCACACAGTACCAAATTCTATACTGTGCTTTTTAGTGTGAAATGATTCAGACTCAAGCCAAGTTCTGTTTGAATCGCTTTTCTGGGAATCTTTTGTATGCATCCAATCAGCATCTGTTGGATGCCAACTATTCCAGGTTTCTCTTTCTTCCATTCAATTTGTCTAGTATTTTTGCATTTGTCATTAATATTTCTCTAACGATAGCGCCATGTGTATTTTGATTTTCGCACTTTTTCGATTCTGATATTTTTGTTCTTTTGTTATTTTTTTTCTACAGGATAAAAGAATTAAACCTATTTTTTCATTAGTATTATTTCTATTGTTGAGAGATTAATTAGAATTTTGTTTTCTTATTATAATTATTCATAACAATTTCTTTTTTGTCATATACCGGCAGCGTATGAGACACTGAAAGAATCCACACACTTCTTTTCTTTCATTTTATGTGCCAAGTCCTTTCAGGACGTAGGCGATCATGGCTCTCCACCTCCCTCTATCCCTTGCAGCTCTCAACAAGTTCCTTTCCATTGCCCCCTCTCCCAGACCACGTTCTGTCATCCACTTGCTTAAGCCCGCCAGGTATGTCATGCGTTGTTTTCCTTTCTCTCTTTTCCCCTCTATTCGACCTGAGTATCAGATTCTCCAGGCCCTCCTTCCTCATTATGTGTCCCAGAAATTCAGCTACCTCTTTCTGATATTAAGTATAAGCCTCCTCCTCATTTGCATCCTCGCTAAGACGTCATCGTTTCTCACACGCTCGGTCCATGATATCCTTAGCATTCTTCTGTAGAACCACATCTCCGTCGCCTCAAGTCTCTTCTTCGTCTTTGAGGAAATCGTCTAACATTCGCTGCCATAAAGAAGAACAGATGTCACGTAACAGCTCAGTATATTTTTTTTGTTACCAAAGAAATCTTCCTATCTCAAAATACTCTACCCAGCTTTTGGAATGTGTCCTTGGCTATCCCAATACGTCTCAGTGTCGCACTTGCCGTCCTCTGTCAAAACGCTTCCCACATATTTAAACTTCCACGTCTTTAGTGATGACCATTCTGTCTTCTTGTAGTTTATGCTTAGTCCCTTCTTCTCACTCTCCGTCGCTACCTTCTGTAGGAGATTTTGTAATTTACTAGACTTTAATAACATTATTAGTAGAACTAGCATAGAAGCGAACACCATATAGGAGCGTTTGATTAAAAAAAAGAGAAAAGACATTAGTTTTAATTCTCCAAATTTCCATCCTATAACAACCTGGTAATTATTAATGTGTAAGTCGTTACTTGTGAATTCAGTTCCTGGATCAAGCAGTCAAATTTATATACTCTAGTTCAGGGGAAAACTTAGAAAAAGAATTAGAAGCAAGAATAAAGTGGTACGAGATATTCTTGCAACAAATAGCCTATGAATTCCCAAAAGAGTTCGATTCGAAATTATTAGGTTACCAAATGTAACAGAGACATGACGAAGGATGGAAGTTAAAACAGCCGAAACGTCTGTAAGTGGTAAAATAAGGTAAAACTGTCAAAAATAATCAGCGTGTAATAATGATACATTTAGAAATAAACAAACAAAAAAAAAACAAAACATGAACATTAGTCATGTGTAATCACCTTTGCGAATCAGAATGTTCGGTTCATGTCGTGTTCTACAGACCCCAGTGCTATACAGACTTCATCAAAGATTGACAATTTTCTCTTTTGTACCTAAAAATAACAGAACCGTAGACAGCTATGGAAAAGCCTTGGCTTAATTTTTCAGTGGTCTTCTGATCTCGTAGGAAAGCGACTCCGTGTCGAGTTAGGTGGGCCTTTTAAGTGCATATTCCATGACTTTTGGCACGTCACTGCATATATATGATGAGTAGACAGAACAGTCTTGGCTCTTTTTTTTTGTTCTCGTTTTTCTTTATTTACTTTCATTTGCCAAAATCTTTATTTCTCATTCCGTTTTATCTCTTTGTAATTTTTTTTCATAATGTTATCGAGATCAAATTCTCGATTATTCACATTCAGTTTGCTGATATATGGCTCTTTTTTTATTTTTCAATATTTTTCAAATTGACATCTAAATACTTTTCACTGGAACGATAAGCTGAAACGGATATACGAACAGGCGCTTTTAAAAATATTTTCCTTCATGTCAGAGCAAACTACGCTAATAAATGATAAAAAAAAAAAATTAGAAACCTTACTTTCAAACGAATTTTTCCAGGTTTTCTAAACAGCATTAACATGCCATTCCTGAGACTGGGACGAAAGACTACACAAAAAGGGACGCCCTGAGCATATTCAGAATTCCAAACACTGATGAAAATTGTGACTCAGAGTAATAAAACGTCAAGATAATTGTCTTTTTTTGCAAATTCCCTTTGCCCTCTCCCAGCATATAGGATTAAATTATGGGAACAAAATCGCAAAACCTGGAAAATATTTTTCTCCATTAGTCAACTATATTGCATCAACAGTACATTGTTGGCTGGTTGTTTATTGCGCATGCCCGAGAATCACTGAGCATATCAGTTTGATCGCCATTACAACATTACTGTCTGCTGTCCATTTCCTTAGAATAACATTCCTCAAGTGCTTACTCGTAACGCACATGACTAATTTATACACATAACAAATCAAATGACTGAGAAATTGGGAAGTCACAGAGAGATACAATAATTACGTAGAAAGTGGACAATAATAATATAAAAATAAGTTAGATTATTTATTTTAACAGCTCTCCAAATATGTTCTAGTCTCTTGAATTTTTATGTTTACTTTTACTGTCGTAAAACTTGTATAAATAAGTTTTCCAATACCTTTTGGAATGAGGAATATTTATGTGCTTTTTAAAATCTCATATGCACCGGCGTCACAGAACTTTGTCTTATCAGATATTTTTGCAATCAGAATTTTGCCGGAAAAAGGCGGAAAATAAAAATTCGGATGTGAAATCAGTTCAACTGGAAACGATAAAGATGTAAGCGATTTTCAGTTGAAAACTCATAAAATATATTACTTCAAACATTATTTTTTTTATTTTAAGAAATCTAAAGAAAATGTGCCATCACCAAGAGATAAAATATAACGTTTGAAGTAATATATATGATAGAAATTTTTGGAGATTTGAATAATTTCACATAATAATTCATCGAGTATAGAACAAGAATCCTAAAAAGAATGTCGTTTCGCATTTTTGTGACTCGTCAGCAGTGCTGAGAATCGAACCCAGACAATTACGATACAACGCAAGCATCATACCACTGGTATAACGGGCCTCGGTGACGAGGGGGAAATTAACCAGACTCAATATAGCGAAACTAGTCCTGATTGCGGGGGTGATACTCATCCAAACATTCATAACCCACTGGAACTGGCCCCTATCAAGCATAGGTTTATAAGGGAAAGAAGATTTTTTTTTTTAAATCCGACATTATTTCTTATTATAAACGTTATTTTTATTTTTTATGGCTACACGTGTTCGAGTTACTTCAGTGTCTCGCCCCCCCCTCTTAAACTATGAAATTGATAACAACTGGTCTAGATCGAGAAATCCTACGAAAGACAGATTGTAGTTCTCGACAATTGTCAAACTGATAACGACACATTTCGATTATAGAAGCAGTTTCCTCGATGAAAAATGGAACAGAGTTTCGATTCCTGTTGGGAAGCACAATTTTCCTTTAGTAGGAATTCACGATCTAGGCCGGTTGTTATTATCTAAACATTAAGAAAACAGATAAAACAGGGATATAAACTCAAACACATTTATC